GGACATGGGCTGAATTCAGGAGCATGCTAAAGAGAACCTTTTTTAAGGTTTTCGTTCTGACGATTGCCGATCAGGCTCCCCTGGCACTAGGAACTGATGTCTGGACGAGCTGGTGTTTCGCTCGCCTGCCCGAGCCTATCAGAGTATTCCTTCTACACAAGATACAAGTACGGCAATTTACATTGGCGCCACTGCTCTCGCAAGCCTTTAGTATCCACTATCTCGCGGATACTAAGTCAACAGCAGTAGCGTATCCAGTGCTTCAACCAGACCCGCTGCCAAGAGGAGCGTGCCATTCGTGTGGGAAACTGGGGCACAAAAGGGCGGCATGTCCGGACAAGGATGCCACGTGTGAGTCCTGCGGGAAAAGAGGACACACGGAAACGGCCTGCATACGGACAAAACTACGGGGGTCTATGAAGGCTCTGGACGCGGAACTGAAGCCCACTCGAACCGGTTTCAACCTTGGGTTTAAGACGAAGTTGACGGATCTGGACGAGATGGCGGCTGGTTACAACTACTTCAACAAGCGACTTCAGCCTACAAACCGGACAACAGAGGTAGAAATGGTGCCGGAATCTGGACGGTCCTTTGTGGGAGTGGCCGCGACTAGAAGAGGCCGAGTGCAGACGATTCGTGGTGGAATAGGTCGTCTGGGGAATCCCACGATGCGGGAAATCGAATTAACACTGGATGGGGGAGCAGAGGTTAGCTTGATTTCCGAACGGATTGCGGACGAGTTCGCCGACGTGATAGAGCCCTCCACTCAGGACGTGTATGGAGTGGGCGGCGAACGACAGCTGGATCGACTTGGTGGATATAGGCGGCAGACAAGAGCCGGTGACTTTCCACGTGCTGCCAGGATTGAACAGGGTTCTGGTGGGGTACGAAGACCAATTCAGGCTTGATCTGGATATAAGCTTGCCACGGCGGACGGTGAAGGCGATTGGAGGGCGCGAGGTGACACGGCTCTGAACCAAGGCTGCTCGTATAGGGTCGCGGATGTGCAGCCGGTGCATCCGGAATTATCGCGCGAAGTACCACGGCAGCCCATAAGACCATTAAATGAACGACTGGTTCAAGTGGCGAAGGAGGTCATTCCGCCGTTGCTAAAACAAAGGCTTATCGAACCCGCCACAAAAGGGACTATAATCTCACCGGCCCACTTCGTGACTAAAAGGGACGGGACGTGGCGATTAGTCATCGACTACCGGTTAGGCAATCCAGCCCCGGTGTCGGCCCACCATCCCCTGCCGAACATCGAACAAATCCTGCACTCGCCTAGGGAATGCAAATGGTTCTCGAAACTGGACTTGAAGAATGAGTTCTGGAACGTCCCTCTCGACGAATCCTCCAAGAACTTAACAGGATTCTCAGTGGGCAGACTAGGACGTTTCAGGTGGAACGTGTTACCACAGGGGCACAAATGCGCCCCGGCTGAATTTCAGCAGAGAGTGGAGGATGTGTTGAGGAATCTAATGGACACAGAAGTGGTTCGTGTATACGTTGACGACAT